AGCCAAGCCGCTTTGATGGAGGAAATTCTGTGAGGAATGTGCTGGGCGGTGTGGTGAAGGCCAGGTCCCTGAGCAAGGTCACCTTTTGACATTAAGGGAAAGAGAGGCCTGGTGGCCCATGCCTATAATCCCAGCCCTCTGGGAGGCTGAGGCAGGAGGACCTTACATGTGAGCCCAGCCCGGACTCCATAGGGAGACTTTATTTCAAAAACAAAAATAAAGCCTAGGTGCTGTGACACAGATCTGGGATCTTTTTTCTTTGTTTTTTGAGACAGGGTCTTGCTATGGAGCTGAGGCTGGCCTTGAACTCTCCACCATCCTGTGGCCTGAGCTTTCTCCATATACTTTAAGGCCTCCATTCTGTTTTGTTTTCTGAGACAGGATCTCTCTGTGCCATTCAGGCTGGCCTTGAGCTCATTGTGAAGCCCAGGCTGGCCTCAAACTCTCAGCGATCCTCCTGCCTCAGCCTCCCGAGTGCTGGGATCACGGGTGTGGGCCGCCCTGACTGGCACATTGCTTTAAGACTTTTAAGACAGGGTCTCACCACAGATCGGGACTTGGACTGTCCCCTCGTCCTTGTCCCTGGCCTGGCGCTGTTGTGTCTTGGTGTGTCTGGAGCTGCCCTTGGTGGAGACAGTCAAGGGCAGAGCACAGACACTGCCGTGGCTTGTGAAACACCCCGGTGGGCACAGACAATCCCACACACGTTCTTTGTGTTAAAGAGTTTGATCACTGAAGTCGCAGGTCTCTCCTGTGGGGTATGCCAGCATCTACTTATTTATCTCTGTTTGTTTGGGACACAGTCTCCCTACGCAGCCCAGGCTGGGCTCCGACTCTCGGCAGTCCTCCTGCCTCAGCCTCCTGAATGGTGGGGTTACAGATGTGTGCCACCACATGTGGCCATGTGACATTTTTAAGAATATGAAATTATTTAGAATTTTGGAATGGAGCTATCCCCCTTCTTTCCCAGGGCCCTCAATCCCCAACTCTTTTTCTTTATTTTGAAACAAGGTCTCAATACATCACTTAATTGCTCAGAGTACAGGGATTACAGGTTCGCACCACTGCAGCCAGCCTGATCTCTTGTTTTATGTTTTGGTACCAGGGATCAAACTTGGGACCTTGTGTTTGCAAGGCAGGAGGCGGCACCACTGAGATAAATCCCTGGCCCTAGCCTTATCTCTTGTGTGGTGTGTGTATGTGTGTGTGTGTTTGGTTTTTTTGAGACAGGGTCTCACTACGTAGTTGAGACTGACCTGGAACTCACTATGTAGCCCAGGCTGGTCTCAAACTCACAGCGATCCTCCTGCCTCAGCCTCCCCGAGTGCTGGGATTACAGGCGTGAGCCTGGCCTCTTATTGTGTCTGTTTTGTTTTTTAGTTTTGAGATTCAGTCTTGCTATATCCTCCAGGCTGGTCTTGAACTCCTGGATTCGAGGGATCCTCTTGTCTCAGCTTCCCAAGGAGAAGCTGGTGTTACACGAGTGTACCACCAAACCTTGTTCATCGGGCTGGGAGAAGATCTGGGGTGCTAGTGGTGGTCATGAAGATGGTTTTGTTTTCCTGAATTGGGATGCTGGTTCTGTATCACGCTGTGATTAAAACGGGCTCTTTCGGGTTGGTAGGGAGGGCATCTTGGAAAATCAGGAAGTGGAACAAACCTGAACTCCCAGCACTTGGGAGACCGAGGCAGGAGGGTCGCAGGATGAAAGCCTGGGCTGCACTGCAAGAACCTGTCTCACCCCACACCGGGAAACGCGTAACCCAGGAGGTGAGGCTAAAAAGTCCATGTCCATCCATGGAGCTTGAGGAGCAGAGCAGGGGAAGGGCGAGTCCCGGGAGCCCGGGGCTGCGACGGTCGGAGGGGGCAGTGGGCACAGGGTCGGGAAAGGGACAAGGAAGCGGGTGCCGCCGGCGACTGTGCACGGAGCAGCCGGGCCGAGGCAGCTGGGAGCCCGGCCACACTGGGTCACAGCGCCAGGCGGTGAGCACCGCGGACGGCACCGACGCTGGATCTGCATCCGCTTCCAGGGAAGCCTGCGCCCGCGTGGGAAGAGACTGGCCGGGGCCCAACCGGAAGCCCATGGGAGACCCAGACGGTAGGAGAGGGGAGGACGGGCACATTAGGGCAAACACACGCATTTGGCCAGAGAATAGGGAAAATATCAAATATCATGTTGTGTAATGCTCCCAAACATAATCCTTTCAGAAATTTTAATGCGAAGCTGAGAGGCTGGGGGTGCACACCTGTAACCCCAGCACTCTACGAAGGAGGCTGAGGCAGGAGGGTCTACGGATCCCGTACAGTGATATGGAGGTAGCAGTTGGCGATTCTAGTCTCTTTTTTTTCTTTTTTTTTTTTTTGTGAGACAGGGTCTCACTATGTATTTGAGACTGACCTGGAACTCACCATGTAGCCCAGGCTGGTCTTGAACTTGCAGTGATCCCCCTGCCTCAGCCTCCCGAGTGCTGGGATTACAGGCGTGCGCCACCACGCCTGGCTAAAGTGAAAGGGAGGAAGTCAGTTATAGCAATCACTCCCCCTTTTTTTTCTTTTTTGTTTTGTTTTGTTTCTGGTACCGGGGATCGAACACGGGTCCTTGTGCTTGTGGGCAGGTGGCGGAACCACTGAGCTAAATCCCCTGCTGGTGATTCTATTCTAAGGTGAGAAAAAGGAAACCTGTGGGTGTAGATACCCTGCACAGGGTCAGGAGGGGCATGGCTGGGACCAGGCGGTTTTAGGGCCTGGAATTTCTCTCTTCCTGCCTGGGACCTCTCTGAAAATGATATTACTTCCGGGGTGCAGAAATCACGGTGTGTCTGAAGACATGCTGGTTTTTATTACTGATTTAGTGTTTCTGTGGTGCTACAGACAGAGCCTGGTGGATCCAGAGTGTTAGGACAGTGTCTCACATCAGTTTGAAAAGCCACTGCTACTGTGTAGTCCCATTAGCAAATAATATAGATCAGCTGACTTCTGTAAATTCCCTTTCTTTTTCTTCTTTCTTTCCTTCTTTTTGCTTTTGTGACAGGGTCTTGCTATGTGCTTCAGGCTGGCCTCGAACTCACAGAGACCCTCCTGCCTCAGTCTCTTGAGTGCGAGTTCATTTCTTAGACTATTTAGCTTTCTTGTCATTTAGTTTTCCCTAAAAATAGCCTGTAGGAGAAAGACAACTTATTTCTGTGCTATTTCTAGTGACTGTAGTCTTGCGTTTGAAAAGCTCCCTGTGTAGCTGTTGTCAAAGAGCAAAGAGCGTCTTTCTCTCAGGAGTGCTGGCCAGCGGGGCAGAGATCAGGCTCCTGCTGAACCCCGAGGGCCCTCCTGGTGCCCACCGCCCCGCCTGGAGGCCGCCACGTGCCCAGTGTTTGCCCACTTGCCTAGCACCAGGTAGGCACTGGATAAATGTTTGCTGACTGACCCGCTGCCCGCCGACAGCCAGACCAGCTATACACCCAGGACCAGGCCCAGCCTGGCTTCCCTGAATCCCTGGAATTGTTTCCTTATTTCCACAAACAACACATGCTCAGGAGAGACTTGTAAAATGGAATCTCCAGGCTGGGAGTGTGGCTTGGTGTCCGGGGCTGGCCTGGCATGGACGAGGCCCCAGCTGCACCCTGCTCTACAAAAGAGAAATGTCCAAAGCTTCAGCCAGATCAAATGTAAAGGTGGAGAAAATCACTGAGCAAAAAGAAAACACGAGATGAATACATTTTCCTTTTTGGAGTCAGGGTCTCACTATGTAGTTCAGGATGATCTGGAACTCACTATGGAGCCCAGGCTGGCCTTGAACTCTCAGCGATCCTCCTGCCTCAGCCTCCTGAGTGCTGGGATGACAGGGTGGGCCACCACACCCTGCTTCCTCCAGGTTTTACTTTAACCCAGGGCCCTGTGTAGAGAAGGGTGTATCTCAGGAGTAGAGCATTTGGAAAATGTGCCTTGACCCCTTAATTTAAATTTAGGGGACTGTGTTAGCAAGAAAGCATTTGTGTTTTTTGGGGGGAGGGAGGGCACTTGAGCCGGGGTCTCACTATGTAGCTCAGGCTGGCCTTGCACTCCAGGATGGCCTCGAACTTGTGATTCCCCTGCCTCAGCCTCCTGAGTGCTGTGGCTACAGGTATACATTCCTGGCACATTCATACTTTTTAAAGTGCTTAGGATATAAAGTGAAGGCGTGCTGGGACTTCCTTGTCCTGAGAACAGATACTCAAAGTCAAATTTCTTCTTCCTCTTCCTCCTGCTCCTCCTCCTCCTCCTCTTCCTCTTTCTTCTTGGATTTTTGAGACAGGATCTCACTGTGTAGCCCAGACTGGCCTTGAACTCATGGTAAGCTTCCTGCCTCAGCCTCCCAAGTGCTGGGATTACAGGCGTGCACCACCAAGCCTGGCTAAAATTGAACTATTAACATAAAGCAATTAATATCATCATGCTCGTCACCATCACTTTATCCACCACCCAAGTTAAAAAGTATTTCCTGTTTGCAAACGTTGTGGGCATTTTAGTGAAAAGAAGCAAATGTTTGGGAGAGGAAGCAGGAAGAAGAGCACAGGACTTTAACAAAATCAGCGTTCACTTCTACTCTGCAGAGCAGATTGGATTCACTTTGAAACAAACTTCATCTGCAAGAAATAGGGTAAAGTGCCCAAAGTTACAAAAGTGTTTGTCTTTATTATAAAGAACATTCCATAGCCGGGTATGGCGGTGCACACCTGTGATCCCAGCACTCAGGAGGCTGAGGCAGGAGGATCGCTGTGAGTTCAAAACTAGCCTGGGCTACATGGGAAGTTCAAGGCCAGCCTGAACCAGGAGACTTGTATCAATAAAACAAAAAAAATTGTAAAAAAAAAATCTCAAATCGAAAGTTCTAGTGTTATTGCTGTGATAACGACTACACATTGTTCTGTGGTAGTGGGGATTGAACCCAGGCTCTTCCCACTGAGTTTCATTTCCAGCATTTTGTACTCGTTGTTGTTTTTTGAGGCAGGGTCTCACTATGTAGTTGAGACTGACCTGGAGCTCACTGTGTAGCCCGGGCTGGTCTTGCCACCACGCCCGGCTTCCCCAGCCTTTCTGATTTTCTGATTTGCTGTCGATGAGTTCCCCAGACTGGGCTTACATTTGTGACCCTCCTGTCTCTGTCTTCAGATTGCTGGGATGCCAGGCATGTGCCACCCTATCTGGCAGCTATTACAAGTCTAACCCTTGATAGGAACTTTATTTTCAGGCTTCCGATGAAGCAGAGAGCCTCCCGGAAGCCTTTGGAAAGCTGGAGGGGCCCGGGGCTTCGGCCAGTGGCTCAGTGAGGCCTGGGGAGGTGGATGGCAGAAGGCAGTCTCAGGAGGGGAGCTGCGCTCGGGGCACCGATGGGGCCCCATCCAAGGACAGCCGCCTTCCTAAGCACAAGCCCATCTGTTCTGCTCTGCGGCCTCCCAGCTCCGGATGCTGCTGCGGACGCCATTCGCTAGAAAGAGAAGACCAGGGAGTGGGGAATCTAGTTTGATGAATGTGAGTATGGAGAAAGCGCTGCTGAGCCAGCTTTCTCTTCTGACTTTTTTCTTTCTTTCAGGACCGAGGAGCGAACCCACCCACAGCTCTTTTTATTTTTATTTGAAACAGGGTCTCGCTAACTCATTCAGTTGTCCAGGATGGGTTCGAATTTGAAATCCTCCTGTCTCAGCCTCCCCAGGGCTGGATTACAGGTGTGCACCACCCCGCCCTGCCCTGCCCAGCTTCAAGGTTTATTTTAAGTCGGTAAACTGGGAAGCATTCTTGAGTAACAAGGCAACAGAGGACTTTTCATTCTCTGTTCAGCAAGCTGTATCACGCTTGCTTTCACAGCAATGAAAGGTTTACCAACATTATTTTATCCATTTTTGAAATTCCAGCATAGCATTCACATCTTGCCTCTAAATATTTATACACAGAATACCTTGTTTGTTAGGGCAAACTCATTTTTCCTTTTTTTGATTTGTCATTTTTATGGAAACCTGAGAGACCCAAACAGACTCATATTTCTAGGCAAAAGCAAATAATCACCTCCTCCTCCACCCAGGGGTTGGTGGCAGCGGGGGATTTTCGTTAAGCGTAGAGAGCTTTGGCCACCCGTGGGTGATGTGAACACGAAAACGGAACTGGGCTCGGTATTTAAGAAGGACGAAGGGGTCCAGTGAGCTTCGGACGCAGCGGGGGCCCCAGGAAGACGGACTCAGAGCCGCCCTGCGGGGAGCCGCTCAGGGATCTGCAGCGCCTGCTTCGCGTCCGGGTGGGGGGAGAGGGAGGGCGGGGAGGACGAGTCTGGGGGCCCTGGGGGGGACAGGGACGCGGGACCTGTGACCGGCAGCGCGCTCTGCCCGGGCGCCCCTCGTACCGGATCCCTGAGACCCGGACCCCACCTCTGCCTCGGGTCTGCTCCCTGTGTCTTCTGCGCCCCCGTTCTGTACCCCTGTCCCTCGCTGCGTGGTCACCGGGGATCACCCAGGAGGTCTCAGTGGGCCCCCGGACGGTGCTTCCTTCCCTGGAACGTGATCAGAAAGCTCCAGGGTTTTAAACGCACCGGAAAGACACTCGGCCGTGGATCCCCTCCAAGCCACCGCCCCTGCTTCCCGGCGCGCAACACGCTCACAACACGCTCACCCGCGTCCTCGCCTTTCCGAGGCGGAGCTCAGCCGTCCTGCCCGGGCCTCTAGGGTGCTCGTGCTGGGCAGGTGCCCTGAGTGCAGTCCAGATGTTCACTTTTCAGGCTCAGTTTGGCTGTGGGGGAGCTGGAAGTCGCAGGGCTGCCAGATGCAGTGAGCGAGGCGGCTGAGGACGCCTGTGACGCCGTCACGGCTGCCTCCCTCTTGCACACACTCACAGTACAGCTGGCGACGTCTCGGACACACCCTGAAGGGCGCTTCGGGAACCCCCAGAAGGTGGCAAGGAGGGGCCTAGCGTGTTAGAAGCCAGGAGGAGTGTTCTGAGGGGAATTCATAACCCATTTTTTGTTTGTTTGTTTGTTGAGACAGGGTCTCACTATGTACTTGAGACTGACCTGGAGCTCACTAGGTTGCCCAGGCTGGTCTCGAACTCCCAGTGACCCTCCTGCCTCAGCCTCCCGAGGGCTGAGATTACAAGCGTGCGCCACGAGCCCAGTGTCATAGCCCATTTTAAAGATGTAAACAGCCACTGTAGGTCCTGCATTTTGGGGGACTTCCAGGAAAGGGGGCCCTGGTATGGGCGACAGTCTTCCTCAAGGAGGCCTCGGGTCTCACACTGCTGGTGCCCACAAATGCAGAGAAATCTGAAAGACCAAAGCAGTAACAACATAAGCAGGAAAGACAGTGACCCCACCTTTCCCTCCTCTTTTCTGGTACGAACTTATTTTTGGTGGATGCTGGGCCTGAGTTTGCTCCTTCACATCATTGCTATTGGCAGAAAGAAGAATGTGCTTTTCAGTCATGGAACATGAAATGGGGGTGGGGTGTGTGGCTCAGTGGTACAGGCCTAACAGGTGAGGCCACAGGTGAGCCACACACACACACACACACACACGCACACACACAGACAGACAGACACACACAAACATGAGGGTGATGCAGAGAACTGTAGCGTGAGAACCAGGTGAGGCGGTCCACACCTGTATCCCAGTACTCAGGAGGCTGAGGCAGGAGGATCACCCTGAGTTCAAGGCCAGCCTGAATGGCACTGTGAGGTCCTGTCTCAAAAACACCAGCAAAAGAAGGAAAAGACAGCACTCTGGACACGGCAGCAGGCTGCAGAGGAGAAGCACCCTTCCACGGGGTCTTAGTCTGTCTTCTGCGGCTGTGAGCGAGGCCCGAGGTTGTCTGGCTTGTGGTCTGGAGGCCTGGGCCCAACTGCACAGCCCTGGTTCGGCACTGGGGAGACCTCCTGGGGGCACTGCCTTTCGGAGGGCACCACAGGGTGCAGCAGAGCAGCAGGGGCTGGGCCTGCTCTTCCTGGCTCCATCCCCAGAGCCCCTCTGGTCACCTGGTCCACCCCAAAGACACACGATTCCGAAGACTGAAGTTCCCAACATGGGAGCTCCGGAGACACCGTGGGCCATGGCAGTGGTGGGGCCAGGAGGCCGGCAGCTGTGTCTCTGAGCTCCCAACAGGGGCCAGGCAGTGACTTCTCCTTGTATTTCTTTCTTTTTTTTTCTCTTTCACTTATTTATACTTTGGATTTCTCACGTAAGAAAAATCGTGTGATATTTAAGCTTGTGTCTGATTTATTTTACTTAACACTGGTCTCAAGGCGCATCCATGAGTCCTACAAATGACTCAAACCTATCCTTGTTTATGGCAGAGTAGCACTCCACTGAGTGTAAACGCCACCTTTTCTTCATCAGCTCATGTTGACGGACATAGAGGCTGCTTCCAGGATTGAGCTGTTATGAGTTATACTGCTATGAACTTGGGTGTGCATGGAGCTCTGTGTTATGACGACTTTAACTCTTTTAGAAAAAATATTTTTCTGTGGCGTGAGAAACTGAATATGGAAATGAGGAGATGTATAATGGATGTTGGGAAATGGGAAGAGAGTGTTCACGTGGGAGCAAGGGAGTAGGGAGGGAGAGAGGAAGGGAGGGACAAGGAAGTGAAAATAGAACGAAAAAAATGGAAACAAAGCTTTTGTACATAGGGCTTGAGGGGGGAATGGGATAAAATAAAAATTTTTAAAATAGAATTTATTAAGAAAAGAAAAAAAAATTTGAGACAGGGTCTCACTATGTGGTTCAGGCTGGCCTTGAACCCACTATGTAGCCGTGGTTGGCCTCGAACTCATAGCGATTGTCCTGCCTCAGCCTCCCGAGTGGATGACAGGAGTGCGTCATCACACCGGGCATGAAAGATGTTATTTATAGGAATCCATTTAGGCTTCAGTGACAATCCTGTGCAATTTACCGCCACTTCCTTTTGCAGGCAGGGGACGTGAGAAGTGGAGGAGTTAAGGGGTTTTCATGAGGACGAATAGCTAGAGACAGCGGGCTGCATAGCTGGGATTCGAACTCCCCACTCCAGGCTTTCAAACCTGCCTGGGGCCTCATCCGGCGCATGCGCTGAGGGGCAGCCAGTGAGCGCTGCGGTTGCACAGCTCTGTTTCCGATCCTGGCTGCAGTTTCTGGCGGACGTGGCGGCCCGGGCTGTGCGTCGCCATCCTGAGGAACCGTGCGACACTCACACTGTTTTTGTTGGACAGTCGTGCGCCTTCAACGTGTGGTATTATAAACAGAGTAACACTGGCTTGGGAGTAGCCAGAAAAAGGGATTTGTTATCCGTGAAGTCTCCCTTCAGTCCCGCCTGCAGAGGTGGCCGGGTCCTGCAGACAGGCAGCAGAGCTCTCCGGCCGTCTGTCCATGCCCCGCCGCTGCGGAGGTCGCCTTCCTTAGGAAAATTGCATTACATTTTGTAGTTCACAGTCTTGGAGCAGCGATTTTATAAAGAAAGCTCTTAAACCGCTGTTCCCTAAGATGTTTTTCTTAATAAGAAAGGTATTACTGTTATTGTGGCCCCAGGGATCAAGCTCAGGGCTTGAGGTAAGCACTTACCACTGAGCTACACCTGGAACCCAGAAAATCCTGTCAGGAAAAATGAAGCTGGGCGTGGTGGCGCACACCTGTGACCCCACCACTCGGGAGGCTGAGGCAGGAGGATCGCCACGAGTTCAAGTCCACCCTGGACTACACAGTGAAACCCTGTCTCAAACAAAAAAGAAACCAAAAAACTCATGCAAAATAATTAAAAGAATGACTTATTTGTAAATATGAAGTCCCTGCCTAGTACCCATACGGAGAATAAGACTTTCCATCCTTGGCAATTGCTTCTGGTCAGCCGCCTGTGGTTTGGTGCACTTAAACATGGACAGGCAAAGAAAAAATGATTTATGTATTTTTCTAATTTATTTTTTTATTGGTACATTTTAGATATCCTTGATGATCACATTCCCCCGGGGACTTTGTACCTGCACGTGATACTTCTGGCTGCTTCTTTTTTCCCCCCTTTTCCTCCCCTCAGCCTCAGGAACAAGTTATTTTGATGGCATCTCCGTCAGAACGCGTTTAGATTAATGTCCAACCTGACAGAAATCGAGGAGCTGAGAAGACTGAGCTCCTCTTTCCAGAGCGCTGAGAGGGCGGGGTGGGGCAGGAACAGCGCCAAAGCATTAGCCCATGACTGACGTCTGTAGACAGTAACATTTCTGCCATTTTATGGGTGCAGCAACTGACGCAGCAAAGTTAAGGGTCCTCCTTGATCACCAACAAGACTGTTTTGTGGCTCCAGGGAGACCCAGCACTCATGCTGTGTGTCCCTGACTTTGCACCCGGGTGTAACCAGGTCTAAATGCTCCAAGTTACAGTTCCTGCCATGCATACAGCCTGTGACCCCAGCACTCAGGAGGCTGAGGCAGGAGGATCCCCATGAGTCTGAGGCCAGCCTGGACTACACAGCCAGACCCTGTCTCAGAAGACCAAACAAACCCCAAGTTAGTTACTTTACTTCCCCAGGCAGGCTACAGACTGGCCGTAGCAGAGAGCTGGCACAGAGGACGCTGACAGAGTGTGCACCGGAGGAAGCTGGAGCCACCCAGCCACCTGCCGTCTGGCTGTGCTGGCCCAGGGGTCTGTCCTGGGTGCAGCAGTGTGGGGCTGGCGGGCCAGAGCGGGGCAGGAGGGCGCTAATCTGCACGAGCACGAAGCTTTCGGATCTTGGGTTCTATCAGGTTTCAGTGTGGGACTGGAAGAGAAGAGCGGGGATGGCTGCCCTGGTAAAATCAAAGGCAGAAGAGCCGGGCTGTCAGAGAGCAGGGAAAAAGGTCCTGGGCCTGTGGAAACCCTGCCGAGAGGAGACTTCTGTGTCCCCTCCACACCTTGCTTCTGGAAAGCAAATCTCTTTTCCTGGTCATTGTGTGTGTGTGTGTGTGTGTGTGTGTGTGTGTGTGTTGAAACAGGGTCTCCCTGTGTAGCCCAGGCTGGGCTCCAATTCTCGGTGATCCTCCTGCCTCAGCCTCCTCAGTGATGGGATGGGAGGCACACAGCACCACACTTGGCTTTCCTGTTCATTTTACTGTCAAAGAACAGTAGTCTTTGTCATGTTCACAGGCTTAGAAACAAAGGTCGTTATTGAAATGTAGACTGGGTGGAAGAGGGAGGAGTCAGAAAGAGTGTGAAAGGGTCGGTGTCTTCTTGAGCAGCCTGGCTTTGCTCCTGTTTAGTGGAGTGGCTCAGTGGTACGGCGCTTGCCTCGCATGTGTGAGCCCCTGGGTTAGGTCTTAGCCCTGGGAATGACTGAAGGACCGAATACCTGCATAGTACATAGCCAGAGCCAGGCTTGGTGCGCACGTGTAGTCCCAGCACTCAGGAGGCTGAGGCGGGAGGATCGTGGTGAGTTCGAGACCAGCCTGGGTGACATAATGAACCCTTGTCTCAAAACAAAAACAACAAAAAACCAAAAAGATGGCCAGGACTGCCCCCTCAGTATCTAACGCCAGCCCTCAGGGCTGCCTCGCACAGCACGGGCTCTGAGTGCCTCCCTCTCTTCTGCAGGAAGGAGCACAGGGCGTGTGCTGTGTGCCTGGGACCCCTGAATCGTGCCATCCTGTGAAGGTGCCTGTGGCTCACAGGATCTGTAGGGGAGGGACACGAAGCTTCCCCTCTCTGTTCCCTACCACAGCGCAGTGGTAGGAAAGGCTTCAGCTTCTGTGAGTAATAGTCATATTTCGGGACAGTATCTTGCTGTGTAGTGCAGGCTCACCTTGAATTTTCGGAGGTCCTTCTGCCTCAGCCTCCTGTGTGCTGAGCACCCGGCACAGGCTCAGTGACAGCAGTTTGTCCTTCCTTATGTGGTGCCTGACGGATGTGCCAGGTGGGGCGAGTGCTTGCCAAGCCAGCTGTGAGTCCTCCGGGTTCTCCCTGGGAGAGTGGCTTAGACCCAGCCAAGGTGCCGTCAGGCCCAGGCCACCCCCCAGGGGCTGCTAGAGATCCTGGAGGACGGGGGTCCTGTGCCTTTCTAGAGAAAGAAGGGAGCTGGCGGCCGAGGGGCCACCTTCTGGAGGGAGACACTGAACCAGAGGCTCCTTTCTCAGCCTCCTCTGCAGTCGCCTGGGCTGGCAGAAAGCAGAGGGGCTGCACCCTGGGCGCAGAGGAGCCTCGCCTGGATTCCCCCAGTGTTTTCGACACAGCTGGAAGGGAAGAGCAGGCTTCTGAGAGTCGGATGTAGGGACTGTTACATTCCCTTGGGCACTTTCTTCTTTTCACTTTATTCCTAGTTTTGATTGTTGAGGCAGGGTCCTGCTCTGTAGCCCAGGCTGGCCTGGAACTCACTTTGATCCTCCTGCCTCAGCCTCCTGAGTGATGAGACTCTGGCCCTTTCCCCTTCAGTTGACTCAAGGGGGTGTGTGTGTAATTTAGCAAATCTCCAAAAGCCCACTTCTTGCTATTTTTCTGCTTTCTTTCAGCAATCCCTGCCCCTCCTCCTTGGGGATAAAAACAAGCACTACACAGGGATAGCAAGAGCAGCTGACGGGACAGCCCTGGGCAGTGGTGCCGGGTAGGCAGATGCTGCTGCACCCCAGGGGTACTGCCTGGGAGCAGGAGGAGTCCTTCTCCTCCCTGGAAGCTGAGCTGGCCTGAGAATTAGCTAGGGTGGAGGACCGGGGAGGACCCCCTCCTGTCCCCCACTTCTTCCAGGTTTCAAAGGGGTGGGGAGAGGCTGCTGGGGCCGGGGGCGGGTGGACAGGGTCCAGGCCTGGGCCCCGGACTCCACCCACCTCCCGGCTGCTCCAGGCCGATTGCCTGCCCTGGGGCAGTGTAGGGTGCTCAGGGCAGGGCCTCGCCCAGGCAGTGGCGGATGCCAGGCTGGACCGGAGCTGATGATGAAGACCTGGCTTCCCCTCCAAGCCTGCCCAGGTGACTGAGTGACCTTTGGCTGAAACCTGCACAGTTAGTCCCTGGCCCACACCTGCTATGGACGGCCTCCATCTACACAGTTTGTCCAACTTCCAGGTCACCTGTGTTCAAACCCTGAGAGCCTGGGATGACACGGGCCATGGCAAGACCACGGGTGGGGGCGGGAAGCTAGGGGTGAGTTTTTTTTCTTTTTGCTTCTTGAGATAGGGTCTCACTAGGTATGCCAGGTTAAACAAGAACTCAGTAGCCCCAGACTGGCCTCAACTCATGGAGATCCTCCTGCCTCAGCCTTCCAGGGTTCTGGGATTACAGGCGTGCATCACCACACCGGATGTTAGGGTGGTTTGTTTTTATCGTTATTATTTAGTGTAACTAATAAAAAAAGGCCCGTAATTTAGGCACCCGGACTCCGGTTTGGTTTTTCGTGAAGTCCAGCAGGGAGCTCTTAGGGTCCCATCTTCGACTTGGAGTTTGCCAGTTCCCTGGCCCTCCCAGGTGGGGCGGCCCAGGACCCTAGTGTCCTCCAGGTCACACGGTCGCCAGTTTCTCGAATTCGCCTTCTGCGACCCCAGGAAGACACCGCGGGCTCCGCAGACTTCGCAGCCCTGGGAGAGACTTTTATTCGGTTTAAGGCGGCAGCCGGGAAGCTGGGGGATCTGTCGTCAGTCAGGGGGAGCCCAGATAAGGAGTCAGAGGCTGGGGGAAGAAAGTGGGGAGGCTGACGCAAGAGGCGACCTTCCCGCCCCCATCGATCGAGCCCCCCAGGCGCACTCGGGGCGCAGGACGACGGCGACCGCCCTGGGCCGGTCGGAGCTGGACGACCTCCGGAGTGGGGTTTTGAGGGTAGGAGAGGAGATGAGGAAGGAAGGTGAGGGGGAAGAGATGAAGGAAGAGGACAGGAAGGGGGAGGGGGGGCGGAAGAAGGGAAGGAGGAAAGGAAGGGAAGGAGAGAGAGCGAGGGGAAACGGAGAAGAAAGCAGGAGGGAGAAAGAAGGGACCCTGACGGGGCGCGCGGGGGAAGAGGCCCCGGAGAGGGGTCCCCGCGTCCCCGCCACCGGAGCCCAGCCGGCGGGAAGGGAGGTGACTCCGCGTCCTTGGGCGGCAGCGTCCTTGCACGGAAGACACACGGCGTAACCTTCACCGCCCCGTTAATCTGTGTTTGTGAAATCTAAGGTTGAAACCGTATTTTAAACCAGAAATTGGATTCGTTTGTGTTTCTGAAAGGTCGCAGAGCTGGGGTTCGGGTGCCGGGGCCTGGCCGCGCCGCCCGGGTCTTCAACCCTCCCATCCCCGGCCCGCATCGGTCCGCGGGGCCAGCGGAGAGGCCCGA